GTCAGGTCCTAGATTGATCACAGCCAACGTTTGGGCACGGGCGTTAGCTAGGCCATTGTGGGCGTAGTTACGTACGTACTCTCTGGTTTAAAGCGCAAACTTATTGGGTGAATCATGCGAGATCACCATGTTCCATCTAACCATAAGCCCTTGACGCACCGCCCCGCCCCAACCGTCGGTAGCGTCAGGGGGGAGAAACTCAGGGGAGAAACTTCTACAGGGATTGTTCCGGACCCATGCAATTCGCACTAGATTCTTGTACTTCATATCCCGTGGAAGGATGGGGCGTGGCTGCCTTCTGCGCACTATGAAGGGGCGCGGCTGCGGACACGTAACATTGTGAAGGATACATTTTCCACGGGAGCGTTTCCACTAAAGGTAGGTGCCACTCCGTTTTGTGCTGAACAAAGACGTGATCACAATGCACAACCGGCAATACCCCACCAAGAGCGCGGCCGCCACGTTCAAATGCAGTACGTAGTCCCCCCTCCCCATACTCCTCCATCTCCTGGATATGGAGTGGATGTTGCCCTATGTTTGCCTTCTTATTTTCGTTTAATCATAAGGTGATCCGATTGGAGAAGGTTGCCATATAAAAAAAACTCACATTAAGCACAGCTTCGTAGCCGATGAGTTCCATGTGGAACTCTCTGAGCGATTTTTTGAAGAGTGCATCCACGACCGTGTCCCTCTTGCTGGCCTTTTGGTCCAAATTCGATTGTTTTTTGAATATGAACACACTGAATTGGCGCAAATCCTCCGTAGACTCGACGATCATATTACCCGGATCCGTCTGTAATATTTCGCATTTCATCGGAATACTAAGTTAGACGGGAAGTTCGAGTACCTGTTGCTTTGTTTTGTTGAGATTGAATGATCGTGAATAACTGGAGGTTGTCTCACTTGCCATCGACGGTCGCGGTTTGCTTCTAAAGATGAGAGTGTTCTTTGGTTAGCTTCAGCTGGAGACTGGTTCAAGGGCACAACCACTTACACAATATCCCATGCTCGTCGTGGTGAGCCGAACCTTGTCGGCGACCTCAGCGGCGACGACGGTTGGCAGGGAAGGGACTTCGCGAAGGAGGAGCATTCCTTGTGGAAACACAGCTTACACTCTAAATGAGAATCTCAGCTATTCGAGGCATTTTCCGCGAATTTCGGGTTTGGGTGCGCAAAGGAATGGACGGAGAATCATAGTCATTGCGTCTTTCTCGCTGCTGAGTAGCGTCCCATCTTCTAGTGCGTCAGTCAGAATGAACAGCGTCTATGAGTCTCCGCCCATCCAGTTATCGCGGAAAATGAAACTCACGGGTACATTTGTAGACCTGAGTGATGAAGCCGCTGAGATGTCGATTGCAAACCGCACAAGGTTCCTGCCTATGCAGTCGTGACACCTTGAGGTGATGGTCCGGTGTGACGGAGGGAAGGGATAATTCGTTGCTGAAATAGGCTCTGACTTTCCAATGTCTTAGAAAACTGCAAGGAGGGCTCTATTGTACTATATACTTCCATCTGAAAGGAAAATATCCTGCATGATTCTCCTCAAATTCCCTTGTCTTTACCGATAGCTCTCGCTTCTCTGCTTCTGCATCCCTGCTCTCCCAAAGAGACGAGGGGAACGGTAGAGATAGCGATAGAGAGCGAAGAACCACCGGGATCCCTCTTTTCGAGTAAGAGTAAAGCGTATAGCCCTGGATGGATGGGACAATATTATAGGTTCAGGAAAAGAAATGGTATACAGTACTTCCAAAAGTTGCACGTATCGGCTCCGTGAATGCTTACGAGGCGAGTGTGACCCTAATTGCGGCTTCCACCCGTAGCCAGATGTTGCCGTGACGATTGACTTTAAGCACTCAATTTTACCGCAGATGGGGTACTGTATCCCGCCTGTTTCCCTAAACTTAGAATTTAGTATGGGTGGAGGCTGAGAATCATTGTGCCTTCCTCGCTGGTGCACCATTCCTCTTAAGGGGGTCAGAAGGAGGTGCGCGCTTTGGAGCGGTTCTTTGTCTCCTCCCATACGATCAGAGCGACATTTGCCTTGAAGCATTCTAAAGGAAGACTCGCTTGTGACGAAAGCTGCGCGAAGCCAACTCACTCGAGGAATCAGAAGGAGCTTGTCCGCTCACCTTGCTGGCAACTCGTTGTCAACCCCGTCATACTCGTTGATGCTATCACTTCGTCGACCAAATAACGCTTTCAAGTTCTTCTTGGCTTTTGTGAAGCCCATACGGCTACCCGTCTTTTTCTTTGCCGTTGGACTTCCGAGCTGGAAAAAGTGCTTGTGATTGGAAAGCTTCTTGGCGACCTCCCTCCAGAACTCACCTGAAGAGGTTTGAAAGTGTCATCTGTACGAACCATCGTATTACTGTCTGTACTGTTCGCTCTTCTCAACATCTTTAACTTTGCTGTGGAAGCGGTTGGGGCAAGGGATTGCCGGCGATGGCTGGCAAGATCGCAGGAATCTCTGCAAAGTAAGATTGTCAGCGCAGAGTTCGCCGGTAGTTCAGTTTTCAGTGAAAAGCAATTGGAAAGCTGCTAGCCTTCACCAGAATAACGTAGCAAGATTAGGGCCTAGAAGCAGATCCTTTCCGTTCAGAGATGCCCCATGCATCTTCTCCCTCTCAAACGGATTCTCTATTAGAAATACTTACTCAATAAGCTTCAACTTAGTATCTTCGAGAATGAACGTCGCGTCGAGCTCGATCGCCTCATCATCGCTGGAAATATCTGGGAAATACCCTCATTTGAGCAAGGCTCGTATTGAAATCGCTTACATTTCACCCAGCACGCTGCTTTCGGACACATCCTCATCCAGACCATCTTGAGTCGATTCGCCGTCATCGTCATCACTGTAAAAACCACGCAGTTATGGTCGTTTCCGTTGTAGACGCTGGGCGTGTCAGAGGGCTGGGTTAAGCGCGGTGCTGGCCTGTTCTTCACCAATTGTTGAAGCAACAAAAATTGGTGGAGAAAAAGCTGGCGCTGCCCATTTTCGTTTGGCCATATTCACCTTTCGAGATCGTCATCATCGCTTAACCCGAACACAGCCAATGATTGAGGATTGTCGAGATCGAATACTGGGAGCTTCACCGCCTGAACTCGTTTCACCCGAATCCGCCCTCGTTGGCGTGGTATATCTCCGATCCTGAAAGTATACGACAAGTATTTAGATCTTCGAAGAGCGCAACGAAGTCCTCCACTGGACCATCTTACTGAAATCTAGATGAGTACTAACCTTTTCCTGGCTTCACGGCCTCTGAACGCCGATTGGAGCGCTATGACGGCTTCACGCAGCAATCGATACCGGTGCTCTTCGCGATACCTAAACAAAGTGTACGTTTCGGGCCCTGAAGGCCATTTA